GCCCCGCCTGCCGTTTCGCGCGCTTCCCGGGGTTCGAATGCCCCAGCGCCTCCCGCCGGGGCGCGCAGGCAGTGCCGGCGCCGCGGGTCCTCCCCGCCGGCGGACAAAGCGCGCAGAAATAGCGCCGCCTTCCTGCGGAGGGGCCCGGGCCTCCGACCTGGGCGCTGGCGGGCCTAGAGCGCACAGGGAAGGGCAGCGTCGGCCCGAGAGCCGGGGGCGCGCCGGGTGGGCCGAGGTGCCCCGGAGGACTGGGGCCGCGCGAACCCCCGTGATACCCTGCCCAAGCCCCAGGGAACCCCCCTGCACACCCAGTTTTCCCTGCCTGCGAACAGCGCTGGTGGCACAGGCAGGGCATTTGTACTGTTGGCTGCGGTGGCGGAAAAAGACGGCCGACCTGCCTGCCCCCAGGTAACTCACCTGCCCAGATCGCTCCCTTGACCGCCTTCATTTGTCCGCACCAACTTTGCTGACTTCCAAGGCTAGCGTTCGCATCTTGGAGAGCACCCCTTGCCACCTCGCTTTGAGAACTGAGCGTCAGTCACACACACCCCCCCCAAGAAGCGCACCAGGCTCCAGCGCGCCAGGGGCTCTGAACACACTCGGGGTCTGAAACAAAATGTGTCCGCAGCTCGGAGATGGAGGCACCATGAGTAAGAAACACCTATAGTAGCAAAGACAGGGAAACAACCTAAGTGTCCACCAAGGGATGAATGATAAACTGTGGTGCGCACATGCAGTGGAATAGTGCCCAATGACAGAGAACAACGATGCGTCAGTGAAACACCTCACCACAGGGATGAATCTGGAGGACATCACGCAGAGTGAAATGAGTCCACCAGAAAGGCCAGATTCTGTATGAGACCACTATTACAAAAAGTCAAGAACAGGGTTACACACACGTACATTCTTTGAAGGTTACCAGGGACAGTACCTGCTTGGGAAAGTGGAGCGTCAGCGAAAAAGAAGACTCTCAAGGAGATGGACAGATACTGTGGCTGCAAGGAAGGCTCAAGCACAGCAAGGACTGTGAAGGTGGGGCCGGGCCCAGCCGCATTTCCTTCTGTTGTACACAGGGTCCCTATGACTCTGAACCATCTGGAAGGGAGGGCATCTAACCACAACAGGATGGCAGCGGGGAAGGAGGGAGAATCACTGACCAGATAGCTTTTGTTGTTGTTGTTAGGTGCCGTGGAGTCAGCTCCAACTCATAGTGACCCCATGAACAACAGAACGAAATACTGCCCGATCCTGTGCCTGACCCACAATCATTGCTATACTTGAGCCCATCATTGTAGCCACTGTGTCAGTCCATCTCGTTGAAGGCCTTCCCATAATGTGCTGACCCTCCACTTGATATCCTTCTCCAGGGAACGGTCCCTTCTGACAACATGACCAAAGTAGGTGAGACGAAGTCTGGGTGTTCTTGCTTCCAAGGAGCATTCCAGCTGCACATCTTCTAGGACAGATGTTTGTTCTTTTGGCAATCCATGGGACCTTCAGTATTCTTCGCTGATACCACAACTCAAAGGCATCAACTTTTCTTTGGTCTTCCTTGTTCATTGTCCAGCTCTCACATGCATGTGAGGCAATTGAAAATACTATGGCTTGGGTTAACTGCACCTTAGTCTTCAAGGAGACATCTTTGCTCTTCAGCACTTGAAAGAGGTCTTTTGCAGCAGATTTGCCCAATGCAATCAATACGTCATCTGATGTCTTGACTGCTGCTTCCATTGGTGTTGATTGTGGAACCAAGTAATATGAAATCTTTGACAACTTCAATCTTTTCTCCATTTATTGTGATGCTGCTTATTGGTCCAGTTGTGAGGATTTTCATTTTCTTTATGTTGAGATGGAATCCATGTTGCAGACTGAAGTCTTTAATCAGATAGTAGACAAGTGTTAATTCTAGGAAAGGAAAAGGCAATAAACAATACACAATACATGGGAAGTCCACACAATGTAATCAAGGCCAAGGAAGACAGTGAGAGGTATGCAAGAATCAAGGACAACTGCAGTCAAAGCTGTTACATATACAAGCATGCAGAGGCAGTAATGCTGTTGTTAGATGTCATGGAGTCAGTTCCAACTCGTAGTGACCAGTGTGCAACAGAGTGAAACACTGCTGGTCCTGCGTGACCTCACAATCCTTGCCATGTTTGAGTCCATTGTTGCAGCCACTATGTCAGCCCATCTGGTTGAGGGGCTCCACCATTTTTGCTGACCCTCTTCTTCACCAAATGTGATGTCCTTCTCCATTGACTGATCCCTCCTGGTAGCACATGAGATGAGGTCTTGGCAACTCACTTCCAAGAAGCATTCCAACTTTACTTCTTCCAAAACAGGTTTGTTTGTTCTTCTCACAGTCCATGGTATATTCAGTGTTCTTCACCAACATCATAATTCAAAGGCATCAATTCTTCTTTGGTCCTCTTGATTCATTGTCCAGCTTACACATGCATATGAGATGAACACAAAAAACATGGCTTTGGTCAGGTGTACCTTAGTCTTCACAGTGACATCTTGGCTTTTGAACATTTTAAAGAGGTTTTTTTTTTGCAGCAGCAGCAGCAGATCTGCCCAGTGCAATATGTTCTTTGATTTCTTGGCTGCTGCTTCAGTGGGTGGTGGTTGTAGATCCAAGTAAAATGAAATCCTTGACAACTTCACTTTTGTCTCTGTTTATCATGGTGATGTTTATTGGTTCAGTTGAGACGAATTTTTATTTATTTTTTTATGTAATCCATACTAAAGGTTATGGTCTTTGATCTTCATCAGTAAGTACTTCAAGTTCTCTTCACTTTCAGCAAGCAAAGCTTCATCATCTGCATATCACAGGTTGGTAATGAGTCTTCCTCCAATCCTGACGCCACATTCCTCTTCACATAATCCACCTCCTCAAGTTTGCTCATTATACAGATGGAATAAGTATGGTGAAAGGATACAACCCTGACACACACCTTTGCTGATTTAAAACCATGCAGTATCCCTTGTTCTGTTCAAATGACTGCTTCTTGGTCTATGAACAGGTTCCTCATGACCACAGTCAAGTGTTCTAGAATTCTTATTCTTTGCAATGTTATCCTTAATTTGTTTATGATTCCCACGGTTGAATTCCATTGCATAGTCACAGTTAATCATCTTTCTGGTATCCTCTGCTTTCAGCCAAGATCCATCTGACACCAGCAAAGATCCTTTGTTCCACGTCCTTTTCTGAATCCAGCTTCCATTTCTGGAAGTTCCCTGTGTACTGCTGCAACTGTTTTTGAATTATTTTCAGCAAGATTTTCCTTGTATGTGATAGTAATGATATTGTTCTATAATATCCATATTCCTTTGGTTCATCTTTCTTTGGAATGAACACAAATATGGATCTTTTCCAGTCGGTTGGCCAGGTAGCTGTCTTCCAAATGTGTTGGCGTGGATTAGTGAGAGCTTACAGCATTGCACCCTTTTGTTGATACATCTCAATTGGTATTCAGTCAATTCCTGGAGGCTTGTGTTTCGCTAATGCCTTCAGAGCAGCTTGGACTTCTTCCTTCAGTAACATTGGTTCTTGACCACATACTAACTCCTGGCATGCTTAATCGTTGGCCAATTCTTTTTGGTACAATGACTCTATATATTCCTTTCATCTTCCCATTGCTTCCTGCATTGTTCAATACCTTGTCCGTAGAACCTTCAATATTGCAACTCAATTTTTTCTTGCATTCTTTCAGCTTGAGAAATGCCTAGCATATTCTTCCCTTTTGGTTTTCTAACTCCACATCTTTGCACATTTCATTATAATGTTTTACTTTGTTTTCTTGTGCTGCCCTTTTAAATCTCCTTTTTAGCTCTCTTCATGATTCCTTCCATTTCCTTTAGCTACTCTACATTCAAGAGTAAGTTTCAGAGTCTCTTCTCACATCAATTCTGGCCTTTTCTTCTTTCCTGTCATTTTTTGGAAGCTTTTGCTTCCTTCCTGGATGATGTTCTTGATGTCATCCTACAACTCATCTGGTCTTTAGTCATTAGTGTTCAATG